GGGGGGGGTGTCAAGAGGATGAGGCCAGAATCTCTTCAGTGGTGCCCAGCAACAGGACAAGGAGCAACGGGCACAAACTGGAATGTTGGAAATTCCAACTCAGCATGAGGAAACCCTTCATTACTTTGAGGATTCCAGACCACTGGAATGGGCTGCCCAGAGAGGTGGCAGTGTCTCCTACTCTGGAGATATTCAAAACCCATCTGGATGTGTTCCTGTCTAGCCTGCTCTAGATGAACCTGCTTTGGCGGGAGGGTTGGACTAGAGGATCTCTGAAGGTCCCTTCCAACCCCGACCATTCTATGATGCTGTGAATAGTAGCAGCATACAGTTTGAATGTTTAATTAAAAAGATATTGTCAAATGTTCAGATACCAATTATGTGTTGATTATTAACCAAACTATTTTTTTATATCTTAAAAAGTTATCAAGTATTTGATTGTTTACAGGAAAAGGTTCTTGTAAATAATTGTGAATATTGGACAACCTCAGTGCAACTCTAAAATGTAAACATTCTATTTCTATGTTGGGTTGAATAACTTTGTCACTTGGGCAGTTTAACAGAATATTCATTAGAGCTTCTATGGATTTATAAAACTTCTAAAGATTAATTTCTTGTAGCTCATTTCTTTTAATATATGTGTTTTTCTAGTTTCACAGCTCGAATTACAGAATTAATGCAGGTTCTGAAGGACTTGAACAGTGGCAAATATCAGCGTACTATGGTATCGCAAGAAAAAGGTAGATGTGACATAATATGCAATATGTACATCTTTGTGTAGTGTTCCAGTCTCTAATACTTTTTTCTTAATTTAAGATGCAGATAAAAAGCAAGCCTTGCCTTTGATACCTGGATCTGGAGAAATTATCAACACTGACAACCTTATCAAGTATGTTTACAAAGTTTCCACATCTTCAATATTTTTAACGTGTTCTGGCTTTTCAGTCTTTCTCTCTACCACTATTAATGGAGGTTTTAATACACATTGTCACAATATGCAGTTCCTGTTGTACTATAGCTTTATTTATAAATAATTCCACCTCACTCACACTACTCAGCATGTCTGTTCTGCAAGTCAATCCTTGTTCTCTCATGTTAGCAGAAGATGTGGGATGCTGTCTGTACTTAGCCTTTTTGGTAACATTTCCTGCTGTCCTTTGGAATGTGACTTCCCAGACCATTTTGTTAACACTTTGTTACATTTTCTTTTTCTTAGAAATATGTTAGTTATGGACTTTATTTCAATTCAGTGTTAAAAATGACGGGCAAACCTGTGTTCAGTTTCAATATATGTGCTCCTATTTCTCTTTGCTTGGATAGTTCATTGATATGCTCAAGTAGCAATCAATTCCTTTGTTCTTTGCAGTCTGTGGAACATCATATTGACATAGTAGTATTACTTTGTAGCATAAAGTAAAGCCAGTTAAGAGATTAAATAGCCTCAGTCTCCTCAATATGGAAAGCAGATAGCAGAGTAGAGGGGAAAGGTGGGGGGAAAGGAGAAAGAGATGGTATGTGTATTTTTATTATATTAAAAGAAAAGACAAGGGGGAGGTGAGCAGAGAAGTCATTCATTGTGTGTCCTAGAACTAATGGAATACACTTCCACTAGCAGGTTTAAAATGAAGTGCATCCTTAGATGTAGGTTTATATCCACAAGAAGTTTTGGAGACCCAAGGCTTAGAAGAAAACAAATATGTGAAAGGAAAAAAATATTTGTAGGTGTTTGTTAAATGATAAGGTGCCGTTTTTGGTTCCAGGTCTTCCTTAGCTGTTAATAGTTGGAAACTAGGACATTGTACTGAATCAAGTACTGCTGAAGTCTTGTCCTATTTCTTAAATCTCTAAGTAAGTATGCAGTGTTAGCTGCTTTTAGGTAACTGTTCTGGTTTTGTTTTGTTTTTTATTGTTGCACTACAAATAGGTTTGATCATGTTCCATTGGTGACACCTAATGGAGATGTTTTGATTCAAGACCTTAACTTTGAGGTAAGATTTTAATATCATAGAAAATTATATTAAAAAAATTTTGAAGTGAAGATGATGATTTCAGAGGTAATCTGATTTATTAAAAAAGTGCAAGCGAAAATAGGGAGGTGCTTATATGGTATGCGTAATTCTGAACAAAATTGATTGCTGCTTTGGTTAAAAAAGGCAATAAGCTAATTTCAAAAAAATGTTTGTTATAAGAGTGTTTTCTTCCAGCTGCAGTTGGTGCTTATCTAGTTGGAAAAAAGTTAATTATTGGTGAAAATTCCTCACTGTAATATCATAAAGTGTTTTACACAAGCTTACAAGCTTTTCTTATTGTTTGGAGAAGTTTTCAACGGTGTTTCCTCACTACCCTTTTAATGTGGTGGCTTTGCATTTTTAGGTTCGATCTGGTGCAAACGTTCTTATTTGTGGGCCGAATGGGTGTGGGAAGAGCTCACTTTTTCGTGTCCTTGGTGAGGTAAGGGAACTGTTAAACAAATGGGGGAGGATCCAAAGAATTGTTGTAATTGGACATTTTTGGTCAAGTTTAAACCTTATTCTTGTTGCAGTTGTGGCCTTTGTTTGGTGGGCGTTTAACAAAACCTGTAAGAGGAAAGTTGTTTTATGTTCCCCAGGTGAGGCAAAGTACTTTGATTGACAGTAGTGTTCTCTCTATTCCCACTCTGACTATGTTTAGGAATATTTGACATACCTTTTTGTTTCTAATTGTATCTCAGAGACCATATATGACTCTCGGAACACTCAGAGATCAAGTTATATATCCAGATACTTTAGAAGATCAGAGAAAGAAAGGGATTTCTGACCAGGTATTGATAATTAGTTCATTAACCCTTTGCCTTGTTTAAGATGAGTAATGCTTCAGTTTTAAAAACAGTGAAACTGCTATTAAAACCACTCCATTTTGTTTGGTTTTAGTATTTATCAGCGTTGATAGTACACCAGTATGATAGTATAACCCTTTATAACCTTTTCCAATTACTACTTTTAAGTTCACTTAAGCTCTATTTGTCATTCCTGTTTCATTAAAAGGTGCTGAAGGAGTACTTAGATAATGTCCAGCTGGGTCAAATCTTGGAACGTGAAGGAGGCTGGGATAGTGTTCAGGACTGGATGGATGTACTCAGCGGGGGAGAAAAGCAGAGAATGGCAGTATGTCACAAAAGCATAAATACTTAACCAATACAGGATGTAGGTCAAAAATGTAATCTGAATTGTAAGCGGTTTTTGTTTACTATATATTAATTTTTTACTTAGAAGAAACTCCCAGAATGTGAAATACCTGAATACTGAGAAAACAACCTAAAATAGCGTTCATTGTAATCAAAATTCAATAGAAAACGTTGACCTTTTACAACATCTTACACTTTGATTATATAAACAGATATTCTAAAATAATTTTTTGGGGAAAAAAAATAAAGATAACATACAGCTCTCAGGTTTTTCAGGCTTCAGTGGGTGCCAACTTCAAAGAAATTCACTTGCCACAGTAAATTTTTGGACACTTAATTCTTAGTTTAACTTCTGACACTGCATTATTGGTTGTAGTTCTGTATCCACAGTAGCTTTTTGGTTTGCATTGCAGATGGCAAGGTTATTCTACCATAAACCCCAGTTTGCAATTCTGGATGAGTGCACCAGTGCTGTTAGCGTTGATGTAGAAGGGTACATTTACAGCCACTGCCGAAAGGTAAGCTCTTTTTCTTCTTAACATACAGAGATATAGTTCTAGGAACGCTTAAGGTGATGCAAGGTACATTCTTCCTTATGTCTAGTTTATATTAAAAATAAAACTTAGAAGGGTGTGCAAGGACCCTTTATGTACACTAGAATTCAGTAATTGCTTTGTAGTCTTAAGATAATTTAGATGTACTTGTGGCCTCTGTATATTAGAGAACTCGTAGTAATTGCTAAGTAACCTTACTTTTCCAGGTGAACTCTTAGATTGTCAGGTGAAGATCAAATAATCTAAAATTTTATTCTTTTTTTGTTGTTGTTTGAGAGGTTTCTTTTGTCAAGGGCAGCAGAAGTGAAAGGCTAGAAGTTAATATTTCTATCTATTTTGAGATATGAAAAGCTATGCACCCTAGGAAAACATTACATTAAATACAGTTTTCTTTTAGCTTTCCCTCTTTTACTCACCATTTCAGATTCTACATAGTGCCATGTGAAATATCAGTAAGACTCAATTTCACACCCCTAGCCTGGGAAAGATCCACTGCATCCACTGAAATACGTGCTTGAAACTTAAAGTGGGAATTGAAGGAGCCTTCCGTAGTAGCAAATTGACACTAGATGAGGACACTGCAGAAAAATGGGCACTTGAACTAGTTTTACCATGTTAATATCCATACCCTGACAGTTTTCGAAGTCTGTTTTGCATGTACTTCTTGTTCTGTTAACTTGCATGTTCATTTGTACTGGTGGTTCAGAGTTACTGTTGCCAAGTGGTTAATGCATGTTACTGAAAAATGGAATTTCTGATTAAGCTGTCTTTACAGAAGGAAAAAGTGTTTTATCATCGGAGTAATTTTGTCCTTTAATTGGTGCTGCTGTTAGAGATGCATAATTAACTGCGTTGCAAAGAAGCAAAGAAAAATTATTCACCTTCAAATTGTCACTTTAAGTTTATAATTCATTAATAGCATTTGTGGTTTTGGGGTTGTTTTTACAAGACTACTTTTAATCTCTAGGTTTGTTATTTTACTTGTCTCCTACCTTACCTCCTTTGCCCAGTTCATTCTACGTATTAGATCATTAGGAGCAAAAGAATGGTGAAATCACAAAAGCAGGAGGGTTTTATCTTTCTTAATTTTTTGACTGCAAAAATACGGTATTAAGGCTATAGATGTATACTGTTAATAATAGTCTGGAAGTTTGTGTTTATGAATTTAAGCTTCTTCAGCTGATATCATGCTGAAAAATAAGTAACACCTAACCATGAGAAAAATTAACTGCTTTGTTGTGTGTATTTTCTTCGTGTAGGTTGGCATCACTCTCTTCACTGTCTCCCACAGAAAGTCACTCTGGAAACATCACGATGTATGTAATCTTTGCTTTTGCTAAGGATATCTGTAGGTGGTAGGGGTTTTGTTGTTTGACTCTTATTGAATTGACTTTATAATTCAGGGTGTTCTTATTTTATATCCTAATGGATCATATTCTGTTTTTTTTAAAAAGGTTTTACGTTCATAATCCAGTTGCACTATTTGAAATATTCTTATGCTTCTAGTTACAAAGGGTAAAGTAACCAAAAATCCTTACATGTTTTAGTGAAAGTAGCCTCAGAAATATGAAAGGCTCACTAGATAGTCTTCTTTCTTAGCCTAAAAAAAACCCCTTGAAGCAGAATCCAGTGACCAGCATGGAGTTTTTGCTTTTATACCTACCTACACATTAAAAAGAACTTCATCTCTAATACATAGACTTAGTTTCTTCCAAACTAAGATTTTACTATTGTTGTTACTTTGTGTGTGTGGGAGGAAATACTGAATTAATACACAGGGATGAATGTGTACCTTAAGTAAATTGTCACAAAACCTGAGATAGCAGTGTTAAATCTAGATGTGACCATTAGCAGACTGATGGTTCATATGGAAAAGGTTTACCTTTTTTCCAGAGGCAATTGAATTTAATGAAATGTGAGGTGAGAGAAGCTTACCCTCTGACAAGCTGAGTTTTAACATTTTGCATTAAAACCACTTCAAAATATCATTTATTTAGGCATTTATACACCTGGTAATTTTTAGGTGGTTAATAAAGTGTTCTTTGATTTCAGTTTTACTTACATATGGATGGCAGAGGAAACTACGAGTTCAAGAAAATAACTGAAGACACAGTTGAATTTGGATCTTAGTCATGGACTGAACTGCTACAGAGTCTGATGATAAGAGGAAGTGTGTAGAATAGAAGACATTGTACAAAAAAACTACTCAGCTTGTTTTTTAAACAAATTAACTAGGATAACCTAAAACAAGCTGTTAAGCGTTTACTATTGTGTAGGATACTGCTAATTGTGTATATGTTGGTTTAATTATTGATAAGTACTAAGAATGTCCTTATTCTTGTGGTTTAAAAACCTGCCTAAATTAAATTGGGCTTAAATCAGTGTAACTTGATTCATCCTGGGATGCGAACCATTTGAAATCAGCTGATTTGACTTTTGTAGACCTTCTTTCCCTTCAGTGAAAAGCCCTGTTAAAATTAGGGTTGCTACCTCTCTTGTTCCTGTAAAGCAGTCTTGGATCTTTGCTCTGTTCTATGCATATTGCTGAGTTATCTCACACGGTGCAGGACTATCTCCCATCTTCAGATCTGTGCCCTGTTAAATGAAAGAGCCTTTTCCTTGACCAAGCGTTGTGTTGTAGCCAATACGCCCTTGCTGATAAAGGATGGACTGAACCTAAAAGACAAAACTAATTCCTTCTGCTAAAAAAAATAAGCTTGTTCTTTGCTAGGTCTTGGATTCTCTTTATTGTCTGTCTGTCCATGCAATTTGCTGCTGCTCAGCAATCTCATTCTTTCCCAGTGTAGCAAGAGTTTCATCCATCCCCCACCCTAGCTGCCCTTTTTCTGTCAGAGAAATACTATGGTAATGGGGAGTTGAGGGAAGGTTGAGGGAGGAAAGAACTGACCAAAGGGGGAAAAAAACCCCAACAACTGGTGATGTTCCTTGTATCAAACAGTCTTGTGCATGTTTTCAGCTCAGAAGAAATGAATGGCTCCCATAAGTAAAAACCAAAAAAGAATGTGGGTCAAATCATTCTGCTCTTGAAATCAGTAGTGGTTAGAATGGACTCAAAAATGTTAGTATCTGAAATAGCAGACTGTCTTCTGTGTGTTCAGTCTTGTAATAACAGCAGTTGCTTTCCCAAATTCCTCCTTTTCTTCCTCTTCAAAAAAATCCGATCTCCTCATGGTTTTAGCTGCTTTTCAGATCTGAGTTTGAAAGTAAGTGATAATGGTACTTCCTGTTTGGCCTTCTAGGCTGTGAAGCAGAAAGTGATGCTTTCATCCTTCATGTTTATTCTCTTACTTGTCATGAGGTTTCCTGATTGCTGATAATAAATTATTCACCTGTGATTCTTGCTGTCGTTTAAGGATCTCTAGTTCCTGCTGGTTTTCTTGTTCCAACTGCCAAATCCCTTTGAAGAAACCAAACGCTTTAAATAGTTTACTGTAACCATTTTTTCCATACCAGTGATTACTTTGGTTGCCATGTGACTTTGGCAAACGTAAATGCAGCAAGGTGATTTTTGTGATGAGGGAAGGTGTAACTCAAACTGAAGCCTAAACAGCTATTCAAAGCAAAAATTTACAAATACCTGCTTTACAGTGAAGGTCTAGTAGTTTTTTAGCATTCCATATAAGATACAGGAATGCAGTACATGAAGGCATGCATAAAATATGCAATACATCTGTTCTCTGTGCATCTTTTATCAAGGGTTTATATTTAAAACAAACCCAACGTTTTATAAAATGGATATGTGCTTGGATGCACTGCTGCCTGTTAGCTTTTACCTGGTTTGATTAGTTGTCATCTTTCATGTTGAAGTTGCTACCTGCTAATACTTTTCCTTTTATCCTGGTTCTTGCCTGTACCTGTCAGTACTACTGTTCTGTCATAGTACTCAAAACGCGAACAGCTCTCCTGGTATAAGAATCCAGTGACCACAGTTCATAGTATAATGCATCAACGAAATCAGGAAAAGCCTCTCTGAAGTGTAGTGTATTGGAGAGAATAAGGTACCAGAATAAATTGTTATGCTTGGTCCACAAGAAGGCAAATAGATCTCTCATTTGACTAATTCTTTCCTGTTCACCCAGATTCTCACATCAGGCATAATGTTGTGGGTAGCAGCATGCTGGATGTGAGGTAGTATGCTTTTTTTTAATTGTAACCATGAAAATAGGGATGCCTGGGAGCTTTGCTTTTACTGTGTGCGTGTAAGTTCTCAGCACAAATGCAACTTCTCTTGGGAGGGATGTTTTAGTAGCCTTTTAGAGAGACAAAGAGGAAAAAATCTCTAAAACTATAAAGTTGCTGTTATCCTCATTACTTCTGGAGAAACTTTGCAGTGGAGTAGTGAACTTGGGATACATTGATGTATTTTTAACACTGACAAGAAAACCACACACAGCACACACATATAGCACCTCAGAAGCCAATCCCAAGGTACTTTACAATTCACTTGGTTAATAACAGTATTCTGTGCAATCTCAGATTTTAAAAAACTAAAAACTAAAACTAAAAAAAAAAAAAAAAAGTTAAAATCCAGCTCCATAGCCAAGGAGGAATAGATTTGCCTTTAGATGCCATGAAGTTCACTGAAACTGAGGCTGTTAGTACCTCCTTAGGACCAGGACTTACTGTTACTAAATATACTAGAAGGAAAGAAAAAAATCTATGCTTGATTACGAGAGGCTTCTAGAGAAAATATAAAAAGGAATAATGTTTTAGAGTGCTATTCTTACAAGGCCTTACATTAAAGTGTTTTGGGATAGACTTGGGCTAACAAAAGATTGTAAAAAATCTCATGAAAATTCCGTTGCAGAATTGCACTGTGACACTGTATTTTAGCTGTTGGGTCTTTTTGCCAGTGCGAGTTTGAAGTTTGTAAATTGGAGTGCTGAACTGTTGTAGTAAGACAAAGCGAAGAGGAGTATTTTCAGTCTCGAGCTGTCGGTGCTTTGATGGTGGTGCTGGTAATACAGTCAGATGGCTGCATTTCAACAGTGGTGGGAAACGTTCCCGTATGTAAATACTGTAAAGTGCTTTGGAGGGGGAAATGGCGCTGTATGAAATGTAAGACATTAAGTGCCTCTGAAATAATAATAATAAATTTAAAGGTAAAACATATCTGTGCTTCCTATGTTTCTTGCTGATGTGATTAGGAATTTTGTAACAATAGAGTGAATGCATACTCGTCAAATCTCAAGTTACTTAATGAGCCCATTGGCTTGTGTTCAGCATGAAGTCTGTAGTCCTGTCTGAAATTCACTCTGGAATCAGCCAGATGATGCCATCCAGTTGTTTTCTTGTTCAGCCTACGTGGTCTCAGTTCTTGAAGATACGTACTTAGGGCATTTGGGTTATAGATGCATTAATCTGTTTTCAGTCTGCACTGATTCTGACCTCCCTCTCCTTTGTCCACTGGCCACTTCTTTTCCCTTTGGTAGAACTGAAACCATGGAGCAACAAATTCAAGCTCCTTTGCAAGGATCAATGCATCGTCTTTTGAGGATATTCAGTAGCCTTGGACAACCTTGTCTGAATGTCCGACTGAAGTAGGAAAGACACACAAAAATCCAACCTACCGCTGACCCCTGTAATTCTGGGATAAGTTGGCAGTGTAAGCTACATCCTAGCCATTAGGCATGTTGTACGATGCCTTAAACTTCACCTGGAAGTTCAGAATGGCGGTGCACAGTACAGGTTCCTATGATGTGTGTGTCTGCGTGTTGTGATGAAACCCATGCTGTCGTGGGTTTCAAACTTCAGATGAAACTGGTTTCATCTTGGCACAGAAATACAGCCAAGCTTAGGTCACTGTGGAAGCAATTTGTCTTTTATCTTAAAGCCTTAGAGTGTTATCTTCAAAGTTTCTCAGCCAACTGCTCTATCATTTTCTTCCTTATGCAAAAGCAGAGCCAGGTGACAAGCAGCCTGGAACTTCACAGACAGAAGCTCCTAAGGGAGTAATTTGAAAAATGTGGCATTCAGGATTTAAATAGCAAACACCTGGTGAAATTCCATGGGGATTGACTTTGGAAACTAAAGGCATTTTCCCAGTAATCCTGCAACAGTGCAAGAATAATCATCCAACTGGCATTTTAAAGTAGAAATACTTCTGTGGCGTATATATATCTTTCACAAACCAGGCTTAGCAATCACAATCTCTTTTGTGTTGCTTGGAAACCTCCCTCTCTGTGACATTTGGCAAGTCTGGACAATAAAGATTCAATACAATTGCTTTTACTGACAAAAGAGGCCCTTGTTCCATAGTGCCCAGCCCTGTTTCCTGCTCTGCTTGTCCAGAAACCAACATCCTTATTTCCTGCTCATCCCTCATTTTGGGGAAGTGTGGCATCCGCACATGATGCCACACTAAAATAGAACTGGAACAATGAAAACAGCAGAACTGGAAAAACTAAGTCAATGCTGCCTGGGCAGAGCCAAGACTAATGAGATTGGTTTACTTGGGTAGAAATAGGGAAATCCACCTCTGTGACAGAGCAAGCTTTCTGCATTAAAGTCACTTTAGAGTTTGCCACAAATCAAGACTAATTTTTTTTTAAGCTTAGGGAATACTGCTCTGGAAAGGACACTCCATGTGTGTAATTGAGAAGACATATTTGTGTAATGAAATATACCCTTCGTTTCCTTAGACTGAGTGGTTTAGTGCAAGCAGGTGCTAACAACCATTTAACTAATTTTAGTTGTGTACCATGACAAGGCAAGTAGTGTGAAGATGCTCGCCGAAGTAAGCTGCCCTTTATTTAGCTTATTGTGGTATTCTACTGCAGCAGTGTGTCAGCACCAAAGCAACAGAGCTGGAAACAGCCGTGTCAGAAGCTGCTAATGTGATAGACTTAGAACTAATGCTGGAAGATAATTAAGTGTCTGCAGAGAGGCTGATAAGCTGATGTAGATGGGGAAATAATGGTTAAAAATAAAGCATGTGTGCTGGAGGCTTCTTAAAACTCAGATGCAGTCTTAGTGTGTTGCAACAGGACTCCTCTGGAAAGCCAGGAAGCATTAGCAAATTTTTTTGGACTTAGTAGGGAATTAAGGGCCAAGGTCAAATCTACACACTGACTTTTTTTTTCTTTTCTAACCCACAAACGCGAACTAGACAATTAAAAAAACTTAATTAGTTTTTCAAAAATCACAATAGTTGTGTTTGTGATCGTTCTAAGTAGAGAATTTTGAAAGGCAGCTTGAAGTTAGTGCTTCTGTGTTCACAAAAATCTGTTCTTGCTTAGAGTGTTGCCTGAGAGAAAGTTTACAGAGGTATTGGGGTGCATCATGCTGGTGGGATAAAAGGTGCTTGAGTAAGTGGGTCTGATCAGTACACCATGAACGTTATTCTCCCCGAAGCTGTTATATAGTGACCTTGAGAGACTTAGTCCAGAAGAGCAGCCCCTCAGCTGGGACCCGTTTTGCCAGCTTGTGCCCATCACTGCCTCTGGAGTGGAAAAATCAGGAGTCTTCAGGGCTGCTTTTTTTGAGACAAGTTCAGCAGAACTCGGACTGTGTAAAGTCCAAAATAGCCCGGGCTGCAAAAATAGCTGCATTCTAGTTATTAACTGTGCCTCTCTTTTCCTTGCTGCTGGACAGATAGCAGCATGTTTTCACCGTTCCAAACATAGCCTGTACTTCCACATAGCTTGGTAGGGCTCTTACAGATTGGTTTATCACAGGTGCAGTAGTAACACATTTTCCAGCACTTCTAGGAGACCTCAGTCTCTTCTCTGAGGTGCTCGGTCCATTTCTCTAAGGCTTAAAAGGGCAACAAGAGGAATGCGTTTTCTGTTTGAAGCCTTCTGGTGAAAGAAAGTCTGGTAAGAAGCTTAACGTTCACTGTGAAAATCTCCTAATTCTGAGCTACCCCTGAGTTTTCTGAGAATTTTGTCAGGAGACAGGCTGTGGTTTTGTGCAGGCTATAACACCATTGT